CACAGTCTGAATTAAGTTAGTTGGATGGCCATTAGTTCTGAAATGAAGTAAACTGGTTAAATGTGGTTTTAGATCTAATAATCAGAATGAAATCTGGGTTTAGCTTTAGTGAAATGGGCAGGTCATCATGTGGGTTTAAGCTGGATGTCTAACACTGTGTGTGCGTGTCCACATGCAGGTATCTAAAAGTGGATTTGCTTTGTTGTTTTGCTGTATCCACTGGTGATTTAAATTAACAGCAATTTACTCTGACATCAACATATGGCATAGTTCATCCTAATGCACCGGATAAACAGAATAAACATTGTATTACTTTCTCAACGCTGCCCTTGGAGCATAGAGGAAGACTGAAGATAAGATGTTATCTATAAGATGGACAACAGAGCACATTATGTTTCCTATGCCACTGATTTGAACCGACTATGGTTCATGTGTAAGTGCCTAAAAAGCAACAACAAAAAATACATATTAGTAAATGTTTATGCTCTGATGCATATCAACCAATCTTCTTTGGCTCTCTGGAATCAATCTCTTAATGTTAATTGCTCGAGGATAAACTATTGCATTTAAATACTGTTAGTTATATAGGAAACAACAATAGCAGTAATTGTAAATCAATAACACTCCACATGCTATCTGCCTGGGGAAAAATAGGCTGTGAGCTATGATTTTAGAGCATCCACTCTCCTCTGTAAATTATTCATAAACAAAATATGTCTACAAGCAAACTGTCAAACTGACACCAAATACTGCAGTTGATACTAACCTCTAAAACCTTTGTGCCTTTAACAGTTACACTGTTACTTTGCAGGCACAGAGAATGCTAGATGTTTCAAAAAAGGAAACAAAAAACTGTTAAGTTGGCAGATGTAGTTATGTAGTTATATACAGATATGATTAGCCCCCGACACATAACTCTGTGAAGAGGGAGACAGCCTTCATCTTTGGTTGTTACAGCTAACAGGAGCTTGTTAATACCATCTCTTCAGTTATCATCCAAGGTCAGAATAAAAGTACTTTGGGGGTTCTATATCAGTGAACAGCACTTGAATATGCATATGTTGATATGCATCTCATATCCTCTGTGTCATGATTACTGTGAGATGGACATTAGAGCCCTCATTGTCATTTTCCGTTAATTAACAGTAGTAAACATATAAACCCGTGGATTACTGTGTGCAATATGTATGTGTAAATATGCTTAATTTGTATGTGTGAAAATACAGTGTGCAAATCTTAGGCTGAAACGCTGGAACCATGAAATAATTGTCAGAAAATTCCAATTTCTTGAAACTACAATTTATGTGTGTTTATTGAGCCTTATAACCAATTAAAATAAAGAAGGCAAATATAATTTGCATATATAAACAACAATTTGTATAATTCTTGCAACATTCTGCATTTTTGTGCAATTTATTGCTCACAGCCAGTTTATCTTAAACGAAAACATTTGCATGGGTTAGGTTTAAATGGTCTCAAAACCTCATGTAATGAATTTGATACACTTAGCATTAGAGGGTTGATTTTGGAGCCTTGCATGAGATTTTCATTCTGTTTTTTTTTCCAGACCATGTCTCCTGATTACACTTAACTCCATTGCTTTCAGTGAGACTCATGTGATTATAGGATTCCTAAAACAGAATAACAAGCTTTCAGGCTTTAGATGTGTTTGCCCTGTGTGTTGTCCAGGCTCCTTGGTGAACACATCACATCACTGATGTGCCTCAGTTGGATACATGAACTGGAAAACCCAGTCAACTTGCACATAATTTGGCCTCTAGAGTGGTCATAAAAAAAAGGGAGATCCCTTGAGTGAACATGTGGTCAAGCTCATTAAACACAGCACAAATACTTCTGTAAACATTGCAACAAAAGTTACTCTATACCTGGCAGAAAATAAAAATTAATTTAATTTGGTACAATTAAGATGATCTTAGATCTAGATTTAGGACGGATGATAAAGAAGCTTAATGTATGCATAACATTTAGCTTCCTCTACAACAACGTTAATGTCTGGCCTATTGAGAGAAAAAAAGCAGCAGTTACCAAGGAGAGAATCCAGTCGTTCATTCTATAAATAATCTCAGACCTCAGCAAGTGCACAGGTCTCTTTTCCTTCTCTGTTGTGTCTCAGACGGAGCTGGTTTGTCAGGTAATGAATAAGGCTTGTGTGATCGTTAGCCAAGTAACGAGGGGCCGTTCATGCCCAAACTAACCACGTGCTCACTGTTTAGTTGTGTTTTGCCAAGCATCGGGAAGTCTGTCTGCAGGCTAATTTATCTGACTCTGGGATGCAGTTTAAAAAGATAAAAACAGATACATACCTTATACAGCTACTTCTCGGGTAGACAGATGACCTAAAGATAGGGTTGATGTGTTGTTAGTTTACAAATTAAACTATCACTATATTAAATTAGAGCAAAGCAATAATTTTTAGAGCAACCATGTGATTTAGGCCACATGTCCCAATATAGAAAGGAGGCCTAGAAAAGCTACACTCAGAGGTTCTGTGAAAGAATGACCCTTCTGAAAATGTAAATTTAAAGCAGATCCTTCTCAAAGCCTGAGCAAACACTTGTCTTAGGTAGTTCATCCCATAAGAAACAAAAATTAAGCAGTGATTGTTTCTGTGAAGATGAAAGATTGCACCCTCTACTTGCGCGAACACAGATTTGAAGTTTTTTTTGAGCAGCAGCCAAAAGTATAATTCATTAGACAGACCCTCTATAATGAGCCAACATAGACAAAGCACCCAATTTCCACTGTGTCCTCTTTCCCCTGGGAGCTGTGATCATAATGACAGTGCTGTTTGTTGCCTGGTTTCATGCTGAATCATGATCGCACAGCCACAGGCCCTCGTTCTTTCTTTTCTCACCTTTCTCCCATCGCTTTCTGGAACATTGATTATTTTTGCAGCTTGTGTCACTTGCATGAGCAGTGTGATCTGTTTTATCTATTCATTTCATCAGCCTGTTACGAAGACAGCACGAGTTGACGAAGCTACTTTGTTGTTTTATTTTTCAGTGCCTTACGAGGGGACTTAGTTTGAAACCCTGATAGGAGCTCTTGTAGATGCAGAGACAGTGAAGCTTGATGGTAAACAGCAAGGCAGCCTGTTTACTGTAACCCTGTTAGACCCTAACCCTAAACCTAACCAGTGTGCTATCAGAATATGTAACGGAAAAAATAATAGTCGGTCTCCAAAGAGGCAATTACAGAACAAGAAAGCAATCAATCTAACTGATTGTTGAACATCATAACAAACCCCCATGTGTGCCGTTGAAGAATAAACAGATAATGTCTTCTACCCATTTGCTTTATGTTTCCAACATCAATGTGTGTGATCTCCATTAGGCCTCTACACTGGCATGTATTCCACCCATTTGGCTCCAGCTGATGGAGCACTCAACAATCACTTCAGTGTCGAGTGGGCCTCTCAAGTATATTAGGCTATAATTTTTTCATGTACACTTGCATTTTTATGATAAGAGGCTATTATTGCTATTTGATGGGTTTTTGGTTTTGTAGCTAATGCATTTTAGCTCTTTCTTCCCCTTTTTGCTGCCAATGCTGCTGTGTATAGGACAATAAATGCTGTAGGTGCCATCAAAACTGGTTGATAATACTTAATAATATAATTATATATATAT